TGTGTGTGTGTGTGTGTGTGTGTGTGTGTGTGTGTGTGAGTTTCTCTGTGTTTCTCTTCAGCTCCAAACAGCTTTCCAGGGTTGTGGCTGAAACAAGCAGGATTATGCGCGGTGACACCAGCAACTAGCCTCGACACATTAATCTGTTTTGCATATTGGATGTTTTTATTGTCTCGTTGCCCGATGTCACTGTGAAACTGGGCTGTAGCTGCTGCGTGTCTGCATGGACAGTATCATGGCTCATTATTCGGTGGATTTACTTTAGCGCCACTAAAAATGAAGATCTGCAGTTGAGTTATACCTTTGTAGTTGAGAATGATGCATGCATAAAACATGCAAAAGCATTAGAAATGCGCTCCAATCCAAACTTGAAATAATGAAGCATTATATTAAAAATTAGAATAGCTAAAAAGTGCACAGTTGTGCGGCGTCCCTGTGTCTCCCAGCTCTTTGCACTAGCATGCTTGCTTCTGCAGTCCCAGGGAGACATTCACTGCTGAAAATGACACCATTTTCCAGCTCTGGTAGGAGAAAGAGTGAACTGCATTTTTGGTAAGCCGTGGTGCAGGTCCGCAAAAAACCCATGCATATGTTCACCAACGATTGCAGAACACGATTAACCCTCTCGCTCCCACAGCTTCAGCCTCACCCTTCCCAGGAATATCACAAACCTGTCATCTCTTGAACCTGGAGATTTATCCAAGTTCCTTACTGTAGATAAACTGCTGTGTGCTGTGAGCATTTAGGCCAGTGCCTGTAACTTATGATGGAGATATTAATCTAAAATATGATCGGTTACACTTACACATGCCTGGGAAAAATAAAATATATATATAAAGAAGTTTTCTAAAAGCTATAAACTTTTATTTTTGCCTAGATTTTTGTGGACAGTTAATGAGACCATCGACTTTGACATCATGTTTGAGCTCCTATTATTGTAGTCCAAATTTCCACAGGAAATGTAAAAGATTATTCCTTCCATTTACTGTAAAACAGATGCCGTTTATTACCACATAACACAAATGACCAAAGATATTAGCTTTTTTCCTTAAAAATAAAAGTTAACTAAGCTTAATATGTTGTAAATATAACTGAAGAAACTCCCTCATTTCCTCAATCATCCATCATCCCCATCTTTTATTTTCTGTGCTGTTTTATCCCACCATCACTTCTGTGGGAGTTAACATTTGCTGTAAGTCTTGTGGGATCTCCACTAAGGAATTCCACATGGTTAGACTGGAGCTCCTGTTTCCCTCTCATAGCAAAGCGCATGCATATGTGACTGCGTGCATGCATTAGCGTTCATGAAGAAATAAAGGTTTACAGCACAAAGTCAGACGTGGCGTTAGACCGCAGGACAAACATGTGTGACCACGGGCAGGGGGAGAACGCCTCTGATGGAAAAACCAGCCAAAACCACTGGAATGTTCTTGTACTTTAATTGCAGTCTTAACCATTAAGACTCATAATGCCGTCTGCTTTATTTCTACCTGGCTGGCCAGACTGCAGCGTGCACACTGATGACACATCATGCCTTAACACCTCAGAGAAAAACAGCTTGGAACCCGGCCCCAATCAGGTCAACGTTAGGCAGAGCTCAGACCAGAAACTAAAAGAAACCAGATGGGATGGGAAAGCAGAATGTGCAGTGTAAATGCAGTTGCATACAATGATGTCAGATATCACCGAGAGCCTGGAGACTCGTGCTGGTTCTGGCTCAGTCATAAAGCCTTAAATGAGGCCAACTGAATGGCAGTGGAAAGGCTGTAATTGCAGACACCGGTTAAATTTTGGGCTTGAGGTCAACTCTTGCTGCATATAATCCATCTCATATTTCCGTCCACCTCTCCCATCAAGATGCCAGCGGAGCCCGACGCCGGTTAGCAGCTCCCGCCTCGTGTGTTTGAACCTACCTTGTGGTTTTTGCCGTGTCTGTAGATCATCCAGTCTTCTCCGTTCGTGCTGACCTCTAGCTTGAAGGAGGTAACAAAGTAATTCTTCTGCGTTTCCTTTGAAATGGCGCCCTGTGTGGCAATGCCGGTAAGCACCTTCAGAGTATGGAGGTCCACCTGTTTGGGGAGAGAAAGGTTTTAAACTTTTACTTAATAAGAAAATGACGACAAAGTAAAAGAAAACACAGAAATCCTCAGACTCAAATGTACTGAAGATGTAAGATTTCATTCTAAAGCTATCGTTGATCAAAGTGTCTGAAGACCTTTTAAGTGCAACAGCAGTTGAAGACACACAAAAATAATCCCACAAATATACACCTGGAGTTATCTGCATCCATCTCCCCCGTTCGGCACTCTTTCCTCCCCTCCTCATCTACTCCTCTCGGTTTCTTTCCACTCTGCGGCTCTCTCCTGGCAGATCGATAGTAATGACCCGGGGCTCATTTTAATTTCCTCCCATACAATAGCTATAATCACCTCCCCATCCTGATTGTGGATGCTACGCTACGTGGCTGGCATGCTGCTCGCTGCGTTGCATTATACATGGGGAGCACTGTGTAGGATGCGAAGCTTCAAACTCCGGGATTTCAAGGTCCCTGAAGTAGACTCGAATTTATTTGCTCCATAGTGCCCAAAACGAGTAAACACAGCAGAGCGATGAAGATATTTAAATAACAACGAAAAATAACAAGACGTTGTTATAAATTCTCTCAATATGGAAGGAGTCTAACAAAACAATAAGTGATGGTGTTTGGGAAGACACTGAACACTGCTAACTAACGGCTGCATATTTATAACAAACACTGCCGGTCTGAAAATACCTGAAGTAAAATGTATTAATATAAATCACTGAAGCTTTAGTGGAGTTACCTGCCAGGATCAGAGCACACCTGTGATTCTTTAACCCGAGTATTTCACATTTTTAAAGACACACACACAGAGGAGCAGATGAGAAAAGTTCGAGTGTAGATTACAACATTTGCTCTCCTCGACTGGAGCTGCAGAAACCTGCAGATTAATCAGAACTTGTTGTGTGTGTTTGCTGTGCAAGTGTGTGCTGTATGTCCCACTGAGGTATCGTACAAAACACCAGGGGAGGTAAAATGCTGCGTTTGTTATCTGTCAGAGAGACAGGTGTTCCAGATTACTTCCACCAAACACACACACAGGCGTGCACCGGCAGGGCCAGACAGAGATCCACCAAGACAACTAATCGATAACACGAAACCGAGGAGAGGAACAGATGAGAGGAGAAGGCGGGGTGAGTATGGGAGGAAGAGGGAGAAAAGAGAATGAAATCCAGGGGGGTTGAGGGCTAAGTGAGACTTCCCAAAGAAGGAAGGAAGGTCCCTCATCAATCACAGAGCTGTTAGAATAACAGAGCCACCAGCACTCGCATCATCAATCTGCACCACACCTCAGTGAGCCAGGCCAGAATAGAATAGAATAGAATAGAATAGAGGAGCTATCCTAAATTTATTAAAGCACGCCTGATCTGAAAACTCAGCCCTGCACTCACAAGCACTAAGCTGTAAGACTCCACAGGGTGCAAGATACAAGAAGGAGAGGCACGTTGGCATTTATGACAGCTGCTCATCAAGGCGGACACACACACACACACACACGCATGCATGCAGAGGCATTGCTCTGTGCTAGGTGTTAATGCAGAGGAACAGCTGAGAGCCTCTGTGGAACACGATGCCCCGACCACAGCACCGCCGACCACAGAGACACAAACCCAACGCAAACCGGGAGTTACTCCCTGTGAGACCACATCGTCTGTCTGAGCGTCCGAGGAAAAACAGGAAAAACATGGAAATGAAATAATGTGTTTTATACAAATTGTTTTCTGTCAGCTACTTTTGAGAGTGGCCCTGAGGGTGTGAGGTTTCAGCTGTGAGAGGCGTTGTGCACTTCCTCTTGGCCACAATCTCTTCCTGTGTTTTTATGAGGTCTGAAGTGCTGCTTCTAATCCACGTCTGTGACTACTGTGTTTGTGACACTGGTCCAGCTAACATAAAGGAGACGTTTGTCTGTCATAGACAATATGTGCTTAATAATGTTTCATCTCTGCAGCCCGCCACTAAAGATACGTACATTTTTTCCTCTAAAAACATTTAATGCATAAATATCTGAGTTACTGACACTGCTAACAAACAAATGGATGCTAGGCTCTCATAGCAAGCCACGCTCGTATTGCACTCTGACTGTGTAGTAAATTTAGGAAACCTGGGAATAAACTGAGCCTTGCAGCTGGCAGCCAGGCAAGTCAGAAAACTGTAGGAGAAGTTAAGGTCAGCAGTTTGCAATCTGGCGTGCAGCATCTTGCAAAAAAAGGTTCCAAGATAAAGATAAAATAAATAAGGAAAGTGTAAATGTCATACGTCTGAAACAGGAAGTTGTATCACTTAAAGGACTAAAATTAACACAGAAGGTATGCAGCGGTTAGTCAATCCATGCTTGAGCTGATCCTAACTAGTTAACAAATGCAACCTGTAAAGAACGTTCAATAGGCAATGCTTTAGGGGTCGTAGGTCAAACAGGTTTAAGTGATAATCAATCTTGAAAGTCACTCGTCTGCTGAAACAGCCATATCAGAGTCGAGGCTCACTGTTCGGCCTGCTCTTTGATCGATAGAAGTCCTGAAAGCTTCCTTATCCCCCCGCCTTCAAACATGTGTGCATGAATATGAATATATAAGGATATATATGTGGAAACATGTGTAAATGGCTTTAAAAACAGTCGTTTTAAACATACTGGTGAGTTATAAATGCGTTCTCCTTTTAAAGAACTGGAAGAAACCCCAGTAAAGATCCCATGTTTACTACTTAGTTACATTAAAGGTTAAAGCCTCTTCTACAAAACACACCTGTAGCAAAACCAGTCCCCCCTAAAGGTATTTGTCCCTTTGCAAAGCACAACGCTAAAGCTGCGTGCTGGCTTTGTGAGGCTACCCCTACGTGACAACCAAAAAGGTAATCTGTTGTTTACAAAAGGTGTCTGGCTGAAAAGCAGCCCTCTGACCCGCCTGAGTCTTCCCCGTCTCAGGGGATGAGTCGGCCTCGCCTTCCCTTCCCATCTCACCCAGACAGCCTCATAACTCAAGCTCAGGGATGGCACAAAGTTGGCACAGAGCTGGAACACAGGAAACAATGCCTTACCCGGGCATCGAGCTGCTAAACCTTGATAGCGCCACACCTCCCACTCGCTCTGTCTCTCTCACTCGCTCTCCCACATACGCTGACAAATATATCTGCGGTAGAGTTATTATGTGTGATATGTCAACACGAGGAAAAATATGGTGTTAAGATGGGAGCGCAGTCTGTTTTTAGTTTAGGCAGAGTAAACTTCTGCATCTAAGGATTAGGGTCTGGAAATAAAACAGTGAAACGTCCGTGAAATAATCTTTCCAGAGCTCGAGGTGTTCGAGGAGCGGCTTTTTGAACCGTGTGAGGTTTCTGGATGGACACACTCATACCTGTATGTACTCCTTGTTGCTGTCGTCCGAGGGCGTCCACGCGTTATCGTTGTAATTGAGTCGGGCCTGTCGCGGCAGCCAGCGTTCGTCGGCGAAGGTCGACGACGCCGCGATCTGGTCGTCGGTGATCTTTCCTGACTCCATGCCGAACGCGTTACTGCAGTGGAAGGCTGTAAGAGGAGGGGGGAGCAGATCTTGACAAATATCCGTGTTTCGTTTGCGTTATTTTGAGAGAAAACACGCTACAAACTCCGGCTTACTCTCGCTGACTTCCTTGTGCGTCATGTTATAGCGAGCCGAGAAGCCATCTTTAGCCACGGCCATGTCCGTGTGGAAGGACAGAGAGAGGATCCCAGTGGATGACTGGATCTCGGGAGGCACCCTGGTCCCACAGTATCGACCGATCAGAGGGCCCACTGTCAATCAAACAGCAGTTAGTCATCATTTATTTGTTTGTGTGTTACTGAACCTCGCACTCGTCCAACGGTCGAGATTATAATCTTATGTTTTTCATCTTTTAACCTCACGCTTGTTTATTTGTATCCTTCATGACTTGCACTGATTTTCCTGCATCTGCTCATCACTCCACCCCCTCATGTCCTCACCTCCCTCCTTTCATCCATCTGGACACGGTTTGAGAAAGTGCACTAATATATACAAATACACACATACTGTACATCTGTGTGTGTGTGTGTGTGTGTGTGTGTGTGTGTGTGTGTGTGTGTGTGTGTGTGTGTGTGTGTGTGTGTGCAGATCTAAGTGATTCCTCTACTGTCTTCTTCTCTAATACCACAACTTGTATATGTCAACACAAACAGATGAGTGTGATTTAAAGCCCAAGGGTCTGTGTGTGTGTGTGTGTTACACAAATAGTTGACTCATCCTGCTACTCCTTCTTCTTTTACACACACACATATACACATGAGAAGGTTTGTGGAGGAGGAGAGAAAATAGCCGGCGATCGATCAGTGCTATTGATTTTCTCCCCTTCCCTTTTGGAATGGGTGGATATTTGAAATAGGGCTCTTGAGCAAATAATGGTAATAAGTCTTTTCTTGATTGTGGTGAGGGGAAAGGAAAGCAGGAAAAGAAGACGAGAAGACGAGAGGAGGCAAACACTGAATATTTTTAAAGATTATACATGTTTGCCGTTCCATTTTTGGCTCCCCATTTCGGATGGATGGGTTTAGATTGTAGGAGATGAAAACGAACTCAACAGAAATGACTCGTGCATATGTGTACACAGAGGAAAATCTGAAAACAACCGTTTGGTGTCTCTGCCGCTAATCGAGTGAGCGCTGTTTTACTATCAGGCTCTCGTTCCCTTTACATTTTGAATAAATCGATTTTTAGGTCAGCTGGCTGTCTCGCAGCGTCTCCTCCCTCCTCCCACTCCTTTCACCTTTTGCTGTTAAAAAAACAGACTCTTTCCGCTTGCCTTTTCACTCTTCCTGTCGAGGATTTTTTTATTCCTGAAACTAAAAGTCCTTCACCTCTGACTCTCACCCAGTAAATTTCCTTCCCTTTCCAACCCTCTCCCTCTTCATCTCGCTGTATTTCCCGTTGCCTCCCTCCATCACTCAAAGCAGAAGTCTTCTCTTCTCTCTGACCCCTGAAGAAAGGGATTTTTTTAGTATCCCTTCAAGCTGCTTCCTCCGTAATGTGCATCGTGTCTCTGTTTTTCCATTGTGCCTAAGGCGAAATTCATGTTTACAGAAAGGAAAGCTCTGTTATTCCAGTCAGTCTTTGCTTGATGTTTTTAATGGTTTTATAATACTTGTTTAATATCCTCTGTGTCTATACTCTGACAGTTTTTAAAGCAAAGTTTTAAAAGTTAAAATAAAATTGGCAAAGTTTTCCAAATATTTAAATGCTTCTTTCTGGACGTCTTTCCAGCCCAGCTTTGTTCTCCCACTCCTCCTGTCGAAGGTAAACCAGAGGTCATTCCTTTGCTCCAGCGTTCCCAGCAGTCGATGACTTCTCTTTCTCCTTCTGTTTCTTTCTACCTCTTCCATTGCTTGAAACTCAGTCCAAGGGTTGTGCGCCTCAGAGTTGGAGTCCTTCTAAACTTCCAGTTCTTGTAGCAGTTAGACCAGAAATATCCCACCCTCCACTGTTCCTCCTCTCACTCCCTTTCTTTTCTCCCTTTGCTCAACAGTTGCTATTTTTTTCCCTTGAAAAGTTGCATTGTTTCTCCACAGTGGGTGCCAGCATCCTGCCTGTAAGCTTAGCTTTCATCTACCAACGCATAGCTTCTAAAATAGCTGCTACTCCACCTCGGTCAATAATGATGTAGGCAGGGCAGAGCGCATATATTACTCACTTTGCTCTCTGCACTGACTCATGACAAGGCTGAGAAATAGTTTGACATCTCCATCAGCATCATCGCAGCAGCCGTGACAATAACGCAGTGATCACTCGATCCGACAGATCCGAAGCATAAATGTCGTACCTCCCGGGAGCCCGTCCCAAACTTCCAGCCAGTCGTACTTGCAGTCTCCATCTCCACCTGGCAGGGGATCGTTCTCCAGGTCAAAGGTGAGGAAGGTGAGGGTGACATCCATTCTGGGCGGGACAATGATGATGAAGGCGCACTCGAGGTTGTGGGGGTATTTGTCGGGAAATCCCGGGGACTCGACGAGGCCCGAGGGACTGGTAAAGTTACGGGAACAGTCTGAACCTGGGATGAAGACAGAGAAACAAAACGTTGTGTACATTAATCAAAACTTCATGTTAATAGCAGTTAAACGTTGATTTAAATCATTAACTGGAAAAATCTTGGAACAAGATTTGTTTAGAGAAGAATTACACTTCAAACTAATGACATTACTCCGGGCAGGCACCCAGAGGTGCTGTTTGTAGAGGCGAGCACTTTAAACTCAACTCAGCGCATGTTTCTCTGTTTCATAACTCCCAGCTCTGCTATCTCAGTTTTATTTAGATACTAAAACATCCACTTCACATAATATATGTCTATGATTGGGGCTACAGAGTGTCAATGAGTGTGCTTAAGTAGCTCGAGTTCACATGAAGGCCGATCTCATGGACAGACACAGGCTGAGGGTTTCACAGAGGACAAAGCTGTAAGATAACAGACGGCTAATTTCTTTGTTTGTTTTTCCAGCTCAAAAAAACAAACACAAAAAGTCAACTCATATTAAATATTGCCTTTCTAAGGTGGTAAATCCCCAACTTTTCCACGTTGTGCAAGACCACAAAAAAGCACTAATATTCTGCACCGAATGCCAAGTTTCAGTATGCAGAAAGAAAAGGATCGGCCCACGTTTTAAGTGCACTTAAGCCAGACTTTTTATTGCTGACAATTCCTGGGAAAAAGCACAGAGTTTCAAACCCGCTGCAATCTTTAAGAAAAATTAGCAACACTGGAGATGGTACGAGACAAACAGAATAAGAGGAGTGAGAGAGACAGACGGTCTGCTGACGGTGTCATGGACGGGTGGTCCAGCAGTTAAGAGGAGCTTTAGACATCATAATACATGCGCACAGTCACGCACACATAAACATGCTGTGACAGGGCGGTGTTACCCTCTCTATTAATGCACGCACACAGTGTGCTTGCACCAACTGGACCATTATTCCAGGCCACCCAGCCATAAGACCAAACACTGTCTAAGCCTCTTAGGGTAACTCATGTCTCTCATGAGTTAATGAAGAGAAGTTAGCAGACACTAAAACACTGTGAGCTCTGTGGCATTGTAAAAATGAACCTAAGCTACGTGTGTTTGCAACAACCTGTACAATAGACACGTTTCAGCTGAATTCTTTAGTGCTAACAGCTTGTGTTTTATGCTTTTCACAGCAACCCAACGGGTTTTTGGAGCTTTAAGTCTGTTTCATTCTGACTTACATGCATAACTAAACAGATGGCGTACACTCAAAAAAAAAATTCACCCTAAATAAACATGAAGCAACATTTTTGAGTAAAATCCAAAATATATAAATATATCAAATCAAAGGTTTATGTGATTAAATGCTTAATCTTTAAGGAAAATGTGTTTGGTATAAACTGAATGTATATTTTATCTGATCAAATGACATTAAAGGTGACATTTTACTTTGTACTTGTGTTACAAAATTACATGGAAGCTGCAAAAATGTTTCTAAATGTATCAAAGTACTGTGGATAAACAGACCCGCTGTAATGGATCACTGCAGCTAACAGTGAGCGTAAGTCAGCGTGTAAAGGAAACTTGAATGACTAAAGACGAGTAGACATTTTAACCAAATGTTTCTGCTGCTCATAGTCGACACTCGGCCCTGATGACACGCACATGAACACTTCAGACACCACAGATGCTTAGTTGTTCTTACAGCATCGTCCACATGGCCACAACGATCGCTCATCGTAGCTTTCTATATTTGCGAATGAACAAAATACAACACATGTCTCTGTCTCCTCCCTGCTTTTTTTCAGTCTGTGGAATTTCACTCAGCAAATGCATAAATCTGCCGGGACATGTGACTGATTTATGCCAGCTCCGATAAACCAAAGCATCGTCTGTGGACTTTTCTCACATTCTGCTTTGTTTACCGAATGTCTCCTTTATTTCTGGCATCATTAATTTTCCACAACGTCATCTATCTTTAGTTTGATAAAGATGGCCTGCATGCATATATCCCGGTTTTTCCTCTTCCTCCCTGGTCTATTTTTCTTGTTATTGTGACCTTTTCCCTCGTGCGGTGACCTCAGATGCGAGCAAACACACGCTCACCCAGAGACAAACACTGTCGCTCGTTGCGTCTGGCCCCCCTGCAGAGTCCATCACTGAATAGCGTGAGCCCGTGTGACTATTAGTGCGAGTGCCCGCGCATGTGTAGAGTAAACGCCTGACCAGTTTTCTGCCCGCAGTGATTTTTTCCCCTTTCATTACTTCACGTTAGTGGACTCTGCAAAAACACTTGTGCCCTCCTTTCTCCCATCTTCCTCCAGTCTGTCCCGTCTCGCTCTCTACCTCCACCTTCTCCGATTTCCTTTTGTGTTCACCTTCCTTCCCATCTGTTTGAAGCGGGTAGGTGTGAAAGAAACACGTGTTTAACTTGTAAGGGTTGGGGAACTGCGGTTAGCGTGCCGTGTGTGTGTCTGCATGAGGGTGCGTGTGTGTTGCTGGGTAGATTTGGTGATGGCGCTTAAGGCTCGCAAGGCACTGAGAGATAGGACCAACTTTCTCAGCGTGTGTTTTAAAATTATAAGCTTGTGAGTGCATGTAAACACTTTTATCTAAAATGTGAACATAAAATATAATTCCCATAAAAATCTGCACGTTTGTTTATGTGAAGCTCTACTTTTATTCAAGCTCCTTTCCAAGCCTTCACCAGGCTCTCGGGCTCTCCTTTCATCAATCTCTAACAAACACACACACGTCCACATGCAGAGCAGATTTACTGTAACATACACACACTGAAAGGCGACCACACACAGTTTAACAGCTCCAGCGCACCCGCAGCCTTGCTTTCCATATGTGTTTGGATTCCACTGCAGCGTTGTTTAAGTTGGAGGCTGGTGGCGCTGAAACTCTGACATTACATTTGAGCCTCTGTCACTGCATCACTGAGGATTTCTCTTTATAAACTCACTCTGACATGAAAACTAACTGCCATCCCTGTAGTCCTCCCACTCCAGTTTACTAAAACTTCAAAACACTGTGATTCTTCAGTGATGTGTAACGGAGTGAAACATTGGAAATTTGATATTTGCATCTGTTTTGGAGCTGAAACTCTGCAGATAAGTGAAAGATTCCTAATTAACTGTAAATTTATTGAATATTTTAAAGACAATTCTGCTCTTTGTTGCACTCCTTTAAGCTCGGGGCACCTTTTGCTTGTTGCTAGGTCAGATCTGGATCCACTTTCTTCAATAAAATTCAGCGACGGCAGGAGGGAGCGACGTGATTGGTTTAACAGTCTAATGAACTGACTCGATGGGTAGCCGGACAGAGGCAGAGAGGAAGCGCCTGAAGCCATTAGGCAGAAAGGAAACAACAGCGGTAATCGGAAGGATCGTCACGACAGCTTCCACATTACCCGCCTAGTGCATGTATAGAGAGAGGTGGCTGAGTGTGCGCATGTGTGGGAAGGTGTGCGTGGGTGTGCTTGTATTACTCACAGAAATTGTTTTGCTCAGTTTCAATCACTTCACATTTAGGTCAGAAACTGTTGCCCACGAGGTCACGTTTTTAACTCAGTGTGAGCGTTCGGTTTTGGGTTAGTGTTAAAGGTTTAAGGTTAGGCTCGGCTGAAGTTCAGGCCAGGGTGCATCTACACTATTAATTAGTGAAACGTCCACTAATGCAAAGATAAGCAGTGTGTGTGTGTGTCTGTGTGTGTGTCTGTGTGTGTGTGTGTATTAACATCTCCATGCAGACACGCAAGCTGCCCTGCATTTGTGAGTAACCCTTCAGCCTGCATCACTGAATTCGTGTGTGTGTGGTGAGTTCTGGGTCACAATAACAGCTGGGGGCACACTGCCTAGACAGTGAAATTTGATTGGTCGGCTGTGTTTCCATTGGCTGGAATTTTACTACAATCTCCATAGCAACAGGGCTGTAAACAATAACAACAGTAGCACATCGTTTTGTTTTGACATTTCCGTTGTTTATATTTTATGTCTGTTTATGTGCTTCGACTTTAATGGCGGCTACTGGCGTGCACGCGTGAGCCTTCCATGTTCGTGTACATGTATGTGTGAATGCATTACATGTGCCTGTGTTCTCCATGCAAACCTACTCCTCACTCCATAACACACCCCAGTAACAGGAAGGGTTTGTAGCCAAGGCGTCCTCTAAATGTTCAGCCAAGCGAGTTAAGGCATTGAAATGCTAACAATCCAACAACACAGGGCACTGAAACTGAGCGAATCACTGAACTTTCTTATAACAAAGACTTCAGTGTGAGCTTCAGATTCACAAAGAATTTTTTTTTTGAATTGGAAAGATTCAGTTTAATTTAATTTTAAACTTTATGCTCCTGAGAAATCAAGCCTTCCTCTTCCAAGAAACAGCAAGGCTCTCACCCCAGTAAACAGTGTCCCGGTGCAACGATGTTTACTGCTACTGGAGGAAAAACAGGACAGAAGAAATCAAATAAAATGAGAGAAAGGTCAACGAAGTGAACGGATGAATTACATCAAAGCAAAAAATAGTCATAAATTCAAATTTTGGAAAAATTTAAAAGAAGAAGAGCTGTGGTGAATGTTTTTTTTAAAAAAGAGGACAATGCATAAACTTAAAGCTCTTCTCAAGAAGTTTCTGTCTTGTTTTGTTCCACATATTTTTGTGCCAAGCAGTGAGACTATATTTACCCGTAAGTGGAGGCCGTGAAAATGCAGGAAAAGAGGAGAAGAGAAGCTTTTTCATCTTTCTTTTTCATTGAACAGAACTGAATGTGCAGGTGCCAAAAACAGATATAAATTTAGATGGTTCTCCATGAGGGTATACAGATTGTCTAGCATACACTCACACACAAAATCGAGTCATCCACACAACCAGACGCTCAGTTGCACCTTCCAGGATAACAAGATCTTGTTAGCCGTATGACAACAGCTTGAATTTTCCAAATGGCTCCATCATTACTGCCAGAAAAGGCTGGACACACACACACACACACACACACACACACACACACACACACACACACACACACACACACACACACACACACA